GGGGGTGTAAACAGAACCACCAGATTTTCCCGTTTAGAAATCCAGAACCGGTTATTACAGCTGAAAATGAAATAGATTCAAAAATTGATAAAACGATGTGTTTATGCGCATGCGTGAGCCGACGTCATGCGTTTCTTTTGCTTCTTTTTTTTATTTTTAGGAAATCTTCCCCCGATCTCTGACCAGAGCAACTAAAGTCACTTCTGTTGAATTTGTAAAAACTCTTGAAGATTTTTTTCTTCCATGAATTATTTTTGTTTTCTATTTCCAAACAAGTCTGTTTGTTTCAGCCTATTTTAAAAACATAAACGAAATAGGAAAATATTTTGCACAATTAATATGTTTTTCTGATGTTAAATTTTTCTAAAAAAAAAAAATTTATGTTTATTTTCCCCTACAGTTTTTTTATCTTATTTTTATAACAGGAAATTATATATATTTTTTTGTAAGAGAATGACATTTTTGATTTTTGTTGAAATAATAGTTTAGATCTGGAACTGGGCCGATCTCTGCAGAGTTAACAGGCCGTGAGTTGTTGTTTGTAAAGACCATTGTTTGTTTTCTTATCTTAATCTGCGGCGCATCGGGTGCCTCTTGTATTCCGAATAGCTCAGTTACTAATCTGTAATCTGTCTTCTGTCACTCCACATTTCAGTTTAAGCAAGAGCGCAAAGTTAAAAAGAAATAATCCCACAAAATGGAGAAAAATATAACGAATCGCTCTTTCTGAGTCTAAATCTGTCCTAGAATAATTAATCTTTTTGTTGTTATTGTGGCTGCTTAAAATAAATTAAATTCGTAAAAAAAATAATAATAAAAAAACATTTTGAAAACTAAACGCTTCTTAACGACAAACGTGAGTGAGTTTCCACGAGAAGCTCAAAGAATTGGTTGGAGGTCCAGTCTTGACCCGCGCGCAATAACGCACGCGGAGGAAAAATAAACCTGCAGAAGGGTGACCCTGCAGCTCTGCAGCCCCTCTTTCTGCTCGTGTGTGTGTGTGTGTGTGTGTGTGTGATAAAAAGGGGGGGGGGGGGG